TCATGTCTGTGAGCTGTTGTTGGCCATGCCTAATACCTTTGGACCTCAAAAGGTCATGTTTTGTGACTTTGAACTGTCACAACCCAACCTGACAATGACATATCCTTTCATATTAAGCTGTGACAAGAAAATCCTAGTAATCAACTTTGGATATTCATCATATTCTGCATCTGATGAGCTTCATGAATTTTTCTTCCAAATAAGGTTAAATATTCATCTGAACCAATATATCAGAATCTCAATCAGTAGAATAAATCACCTCCAATTGTAATCTCTCTATCACTCGTATCAAATACTCATCAAAAGTGAGCTAAAGAAATGAAACTCCATAAGATTTTCTATTCAAAGTGTCTGCTACCACATTAGCCGTACCTGAAAATACATCAATACAGAACTCTGTCTCTATTCGGAGGTAAATTGAATAACTCTTTTGGAAAGACATTCATAAATTCTTGTACTATCAGGATGTCAAAAAGAAGATCAAAATCAATATTTCTATCTTAGACGGATGTTAGAAATAACATGCAATCCTTCTTCCACAACAAAAATTAGCTTCCACATCAAAAATTAGACAATACAAAACACCTCTAACTCTGTGATATACTTACTTTCACTTCCAAAAAATGAACTATCTCACATCTTTAAGCAATTAATCTGATTCTTGTACCGACTCGACTAGTTCATACCTAAAATAATATCATATAAGAAAATGTGTAATAAAATTAAATTGGATTCTCACTTATAAAAAATCTCAATATTACCGAAACCAGATTTGCTGCTATCATACCATCTCCAATCGGTAGGGTAACAAAAAAAAAAGGCAGGACAACTAAAGCAAATGTAATCAATCAAAAAATATTCGGAAATAAATAAATGACTTTCTCCATAGCCAAATAAAACACGACATGGATACTCATAAATGTAAATCGTACCTGTCACAACATCTGGAGCATCACTAGCTTTATGCTAAGTCAAATTCTATATACGTGGTTGAATTGGTGCTGGAGCAACAGAATTATTATGCTCTCTTTGACCACTGTCATATGGCTCCTTGCCACAAAATCAAAACCACCGGCTCTTCCAGAGCTGTCCTCGGTGTCCCCGTCGGTCTGACAACTCTCAAATCTGGGCTCAAAACGTCCATCAAATCCCGCCGCCTATGGGCATTTTGCTATCTGATGCCCTATCTAACTGCATCTGAATCATTGTTTAGTCATCCTATAACACTGACCAGAATGATGTCTGCCACATCTTTGGCACAGAGGTGCCCCACTAACATAATATGAATTGGTTATATTACCACTGCCAAAGATTGTTACAGATACTGACTATCCACCTCTCTTGGAATCTTCAGGTGTAAATATATTATTTTTTCTAGAAAATTCACTACTGGATGTCTTGGCACTTAACCTCTTTCTACTAGCAGTCCACCGCTATTGAGTAGCTATCATATTATTCTTTATCAACGAGCTTTCTCCACAAGCTTAAAGAAATCATAAATATGAAATTGCACTAGAGGCTGTCTCAGACTGTCTCAAAGTCCTCTTTGGAATCGGTAACACTTCTCTACGGGAGTGCTAACTAGTTGCAAAGCATATCTGGCTAAAGCAATGAACTCTGCATCGTACTGCATAATTGTTATGCTCCCCTGAACTAGTCTTAGAAAAATCTAATGCATTGCTACCATGCAGAAGGGTGCCACAAGCTAGACTCTAAACACTTCTGAGAACTCCTTCCAAGTAATCAAAGAATTCAATCTCTCTTTAAATTTTTACTCTTGCTGGCTCATCCACCAACGCTCTACCTCAACATCTAATATAAAAGTTGATAACGGTACCTTTCTCTCAGGAGAATACTGCATGCCATCAGATGTCTTTTCTAGCCTCCTCAACCAGTCCTCTGCTGCTCTAGTCTCAACAATACCCTCAATTCTCGGAGGCTTTAATCTCGAAAACACTACAGATGCTTGTCTACCTCTTCAGATCTCACAGCAAAAACCTTGCTCTGTGCCTCACCTATCATCTAGGACATCAAAGTAGCAAACTACAAAACTGTATCAGAACCCACTGCCAGAGTTGTACTTTATACAAGAGTTGTTTGACTGCCACTCTACTCGTCTGTCATAGACCCTTTGACTGCCACTCTACTCGTCTGTCATATCTGGGTCTGACGGATTCATAATCACACAAAATATGCAACTAAATTTACATGCACATGATACAAATAATAATAAACATCCAAACAAACTTAAAACTACCCTACTTGACTTACAAATTAATTCATGTTGTTCTGTTTTACAATCCATTCCAAAATTATTTCTTTAATATCACAAATGCTTGTCACAACCCAACTCGATTAGGATAGGTCCTATCGTCTTTAGCTCTAATAGGCAAATCCCAAGATCTAAATTTTGAATATTTCATATTCTCTTCCAATATTTATTTTAAACAAACTATAGATTATAGAGCTACTAAAACATTCGAGGACTAAAAATACACTTATCCACAAGATTTTTTTTATTTCATCAGAATATATCTACATTATAGTATATGACTACATGCAGAAGGTGCATAATTAAATAATAAACTAGCAATGATTGTACAAAAATCAAAATAGAGAAATACCTGTAAACTTAGATTTGATCATGAACTGCTAATCAATAGTCTCCTTCCCCTTTCTAGATCTTGAAAATTAGAAGCAAAATCGTAGTGAGTTACCATAGCTCAGCAGACCACACAAGCCGATCTAAGTTTTCAAATTCTTTTATTAAATATTTAAAAGCAGTTAAATGAAGTCGAATAAATCACTGTACTGAAAAATGTAATAAAAGTATAGCAGATATTTAATTATTTAAATAATATTACTGAATAGATAAATAAATTGCAATTCATATAATAGACAAGTTCATATTATATTTTTCGGTCTTAACATAATCTCAAAGAATTCTGACCCTTTATGACTCCCTTTTGTGCTTATCACACCAAAACATGCTTTATAGGCATTAGAATATTCCCTGACATAAATAAAATCTCAAAAGATTATGGCCTCTCTTATCTCCTCCAACAGAAATATTTTTATCACATTGCACATTTTTCATCATATTATAATAGTTGAAGCGTAATTGAGCATGTGTCAAAATTGTACAGTTTTCTGTAATAATAGGTAACAAAAAATCCTACTAAACAAAAAAATGCACATTTTCAAAAAATAACCTAATTCCCAGGGATTATATAAAACAATGTTTTAAGATTTTTATCGTACTACACTATTGATAATTTTTTTTTAATCTTACAAAATTTAAAATCCTTGTTGTAAAATTTTCAGAAAATATTCAAAATGCTCATAAACTTAATCTCTATAGCAATATAAAAAATTACGTGATGAAGATTTTCCTAGTGCAAAGTTATCCGTATTTTTTGCTAATGGAAATAAAATTTTAATAAAAAATTAGATAAAAATTACGTATTTTTGAAAATTGAGATATACATGGTGTGATCTTGAGACGAACAAGTTTTTCAATTGGGTAGACGGACAAAAATGGCTCTAGAACCTCTAAAATCATTTTTCTCACTCACACACACTCTCTCTCTTCTCTTACATTTTCCTTTTTCTATTCCCTGTTAGCTGAAATGCTTCTGCTTGGAAAAAATGAAAAATGCCATTTAATAAAAGTCATTATGCTTTTAGATATTTTTTTAATAAAATATTTAAACAACTTAAAGGTAATTATTTTAATTAATCAACTTTTAACCCAAAATCTTTTTATATATTCAAATATGAAGATTAAAAAATTATACAAAAATATTCATAAATTAACTAAGTATGTCTAGAACATTCTGGAGAAATCATTTTGCAAAACAAACGCCCAATGGTCCCAAAACTCTCATTTGTGATGACAAGTGTCAATTTCTTAAAGAATTTTATTGGTGCCCAAAAATTATGAAAAAAGTTAGTGAAGCTAAAACACAATCATATCTATGATGGTTTGTGATTTTGACCTATAATGACTCCTGAAATAATTATTGAATGTTGTAGGTTAAAAAAATTCTTTAAAAAAATCAGGATTTTCACGTGAACTATTCAATAAAAATGATACAGCACGCCCTCTGCAATAAAGGATGTCGTTGACACATATATACATTTTCATTCGGATCTTCTTGGGATACCTGAATGCGGAAAGTCATGGATGGTAATAAAATTCTTTGGACATTATGACTTACAAGCCCTATGTCATTGATAGTTTGTATCAGTTGGTATACTCAAAATGGTAGAATTATGAAATCTTGATTAAGTCTACCTTCATTCCTCCCAACTATTCTCCAGTTCAACTAAGATCTAAATATTGAATCCCAACTTAAAATTTAGCCAAAGCAACATCTTTGATCAAGACTATTTTCTTGCTAGTTGAAAGTGTAATTAACTATGAGGACTTGCGTCGATAGAAAATTTTAACTATATATCTTAATAAATTATAGTCTTAACATCATGGTAAATCTTGCTAAAATAAACCTAATCTGCCTCAAGTAAAAATAACACACGGGAAATATTACTAAAATGAACCTAATCTTCCTCTAGTAAAGTAGATTTCGAATCTTTTTAATCACTTGCATGTTGTAGTGGCTCACAAGGAAGGGTGACTTTTCTTGTGTCGTTCTTCCTATGAGACAGGGTTGAATGCTAAAATGAATCTCATTCTAAACCAAATAACTCTGCCTAAAATTTGCACTATTGTTTGGTGCATGTACCCTTGAGAGATCTACATTGAAGAATGTGTCATTTGCCAAAGAAACTTTTGTATTCCATATGGTCATTGCAAGACGATGATGACTTTTTCAGTTACCCTGTTTTGAAGTAATTTAACTACATTTAAAATCTACAAAAAAATAGTTCATGTGATAGGAAGTTGCCATGATTAAAAAAAATTCCCTGAAACTTTCAGAAATTTGATGAAATACTTTCTTAATGTTCTTGTTTGTTTATCTTATTTGTTTTTTGTATAGGGCATAGGTATGCTGATTGAAGGAATATTTGGAGCTATAGCTGGTTCTACTGCTTCAGTGTAAGCCTTTCATGATCATAAAATGTTGGATTTTTGTTTTTTTTTCAATGCTGATTTTGAGATTATTAGGATATTCAGGCGAGTTGCATTTGATTTTTGACTTATAGAATCATCTCTTTCTGTTGTTTTATTTCATTGGTTAAAGTCTTTAGAATTGAGATCTATTTTACTTGTAATGCAAAACGTAATAGTTTTTCACAATTGCACCTTATTTTTTAGGTTTAATGGCCTTCAGTAACATACAACATTAATTCAACATTTGATTTGAAAAGCAAAAATGACTTCTTTTTAACCACCTCTTGAATAGCAGAACATTTACCGATCACTGTTGTTTGAATATAAAATTTATCCTGGGGCACAACCTGTGGTTGATTACCTGTGTTATGGCAAAAGAGCAAGAGGCCTCAAGTTTGAGACATGATGTTTCCTTATATTTTTTGGTATGTAAGCATGTATATTGGGTATAGTGTTTGCCCTAGATTACTGTTACAAACAACAACAATAAGCCTTTATCCCTCTATGTGGGGTAGGTTATATGAATCATTTTTCTTTATTGTATTCTATTAAAGGTCAAATTCTAATATAAATCTAATAAAGAAAAGTCATTTCTAATATTTTATAATCAATTCTTTTTTAAGTCTATCTCGACATTTCTTAACATAAGTCAAATCTAATACATCTACTTTCTTAACCGGGTCATCAGAAGGCCGCCGTTTTATGTAATCAAACCATCTAAGACGACTCTCTAATCTTATCTTCAACTAGAGCAACTCCAATCTTTTCACCATAGATTGTTGTACCCATCTTTATTTTTAATGCAAGCTTACAAAGCTGAATAGGCTTGCAAGTGAAGATGTTGGATTATAAAGTTGATCGTGGGCCATAACTTATGTGTTTAAGCTTTTCTGGCTATTGAAGTACTCGCAATCATTTATGGAGAAACTATTTAGAAGAGAAAGGACTTATGGTTAGTAAAGGTTGAGTTTATGTTATTCAACTATTATAGTTCGGCATCTTAAACTGTGCTAAATATTATTTCATTGCATTGAGGTCATTGATCATTTATTCTACCTCAAAACACATTGCAATATTCGTTTCAATATATATTATTAATGAACTTGTAAGAAAATCATCATCTTATTTTGCAATATTGTTTTGATAATTTTCATTATTAAAAATACGCATTCAATTTTTACAGTCAAAATAGGTTGAGGTAAGACCAACTGAATTAATCGGTCAATAATAAAATTGATTTGATCACTAGTGTATTTAACAAAACGTCGACTACCCATTTGATTAATTCCCTAATATGCTAGTGTATCTTTTATAATGTGAACAAAAAGTACCATCGACTTTTATAGTAATGATGAACAATAAGTGTTAGGAAAAGCGCATCTATATTTTATAAGGAAACATTAATACGAGCATTAGTGCTTACTGTTTCCTTTATTGGAATATGATTCATGAAAATTTGGTAAAGGTGCATTAGTGCTTACTGTTTTCATTATAATCTGGTGTAAGCTGTGTCTATTATGAACTTTGATTCTCAATTTCATTACTACTCTCAGTAACAGTAGAAATTATTCCGTGCGGAGTTTGGACGGTAAAGAACCGCCCGGATGTGAGTGTACACAATGTTTGTACACACTGTGAATAAAAAAACTAAATTGTGTACAAAATTTTCTCCAAATTATTCTGTGCGCACACCGGATGTAAGCTTGCGTTCGGATTTGTTGCGCTTTTATTGTGTTTTTACTGCGCTTTTGATGTATTTTTGCAAAAGGGCATCTAATACACATTTTTAATTGGATATTAGCTGCCCTTTTACTGAGTATTTGAAAAACGCATTAAAAATGCAGCAAATACTCAATGAATAAGATATTTAATATGCTTTTGTTATATTTTTGCAAATACTTAGCAAAAGAGAAGCTAATATGCAATTAAAATTGTGTATTAGATGTCCTTTTTCAAAAATACATCGAAAGCACAGTAAAAGTGCAGTAAAAGCGCAGCAATACGGACGCAAGCTTGCGTCCGGTGTGCGCACATAATAATTTTCCCGCATCCGGATGGTTCTTTACCGTCCGGACTTCGCACGAAATAATTTCCCCAACAATAGCCAGCTACCATTCAAGTTTGAATTTCCATGCAAGCATATATCGCTCCATGAATGCACCTTGGAACACCTTTTATGCCCAACTCGTTTAATTACTCCAAGCATGCTTAGTTTGAAATTCATCATACTTATGCTTCATATATAAGCCACATTCGTGCATGTAAATTACTCATCTTTCTCATTGCGAGCCTTGTTTCAACTGTGATTGCCTTAATATTTTCCTACTCAGAACATCATTTAAAACCAGTAACATCTATCTATAAATAATACTCAAAAGAGTTCCTGAATGAAGAAAATGTTGTTTTTGAAGTCAGAATATTGGACTCCTTGGAATGACTCGAGTTGGAAGCAGGAGGGTGGTACAAATTTCAACTGCTTTTATGATCTTCTTTTCTATATTTGGTAAACCATCTATCGTATATAGCAAAAGCTAAAGTTTTTCATTGATTAGAACAGAACTACAGCGTTATAAAAGTGCTTTTTACAGGAAAATTTGGTGCATTATTCGCTTCAATCCCTTTGCCAATATTTGCAGCAATATACTGCATTCTCTTTGGATTAGTTGGTAAGTCATCAGAAAGACCTACTTGCCTAACTACGCAGTAAATATTCCTATTTCATTCCTGAAGCCTGATCATTTTGCAGCTTCCACTGGTGTTTCTTTCTTCCAATTCGCAAATAATAACTCCTTGAGGAACATCTACGTCATCGGCGTTTCACTCTTCCTCGGCATATCAATACCTCAATATTTCCGTGAATTCACTGCATCTGCAGGCCATGGACCTGCCCAAACAAATGCTGGATGGGTAAAGCTTCTTCATTACTCTAGACTAAGGACGGCTTAGCTTTTTAATGCAAAAATTTAAAATTTGTACTAGAAAGCTATTTTAATAAACAGTAAAAAAGCCTTCTAGGCTTCGTTTGAGATGTCTTTCTTTCTGTTTTTTAAAGCAGCTTCTCATACAAATTTTTTAATTTTTATTACTAAGAAGCTGCTTTAAGAAGCAATAAGAAAGCCGTCCAAAACGAAGCCTAATTCCTACAATACCTTTAAGGTTAATGGAAAAAAGGTGAATATTCAAACTTTTTCCTTCTTTGTCTGGTAATGCAGTTCAATGACATACTGAATACAATCTTCTCATCTGCGCCAACTATTTCAATATTGGTGGGTACATTTCTGGACAATACACTGGAAGCCATTAATGCAGCTGCAGATAGAGGTCTCTCATGGTGGATTCCCTTTCAAAATCGGAAAGGCGATATCAGAACTGAAGAGTTTTATAGCTATCCTATCAGAGTACGTGAACTTCTTCCAAGGTAATTCTGATAAATGGGAAGTTATATATTTATATATATAAAGCTGCTGCTCTTTCAGATCTTGCAAGGCTTTGAATGCAGCAGCTGCCTGAATGTAATTATTAGTGTGATTGTTGATACTGCTGAAGCTTTCTTTAATATTTACACAACTCAAGCCTGTATTTTGTTATCTTTTTTGTTTGTTGGAGCTTGGAATGGAAAAAAAAAAAAACTGTTTTGTGTATTGCTGTAACAAATATATTAACTGAGAAAGTGCTTTGAATGGTGATGTCCATGTGTAGTAGTGGTGATGCACAGGAATAGAGTAAGGCTTCATTTAAGATAGTTTTTTTTTTCTTTTTAATACAGTTTTTTAAGTAAAAAAAATTTAGTTTAAATTTTTTTTATAAAAAAATTATTTTAAAAAACAATAAGAAAATGATACTAAATGAAGCCTAAAATATAAATAGTGAGAATTCAAATATTCTTATGTGGTCTCACCACTTCATGTGAGTTCTTAGAGTGGAGAAATTCAGTGATTTTTTTTACGTCCTCAACACAACTATGATCAATAATCATTTGAATGGTGGAAGGGGAAAGACTAATGTCGTACAAAAAGATGGTTAAAATGGGGTGCAACACGGGGACTTTTAGGAGGTCATCATATCAGTATTAATCTCGCCCAAGCACGCTTAACTACGGAGTTTTAATGGAATTCAGTGCACTGATGCTGATATGATCGCACCCAAAGCCTACAATAAAAAAAATTCTCGAGTGTTATAAAAAAAAAGTAAAAATTGATTGAGATAGAAAAGTGAGCTGCAACCGAAGCCTAAAAAATTCATGAAAATCAATGCTTGTTATCAGTGCTTTTACTTATTGATTCTTAAATGCTGCCAACAAATCGTTACTTATATCTGGAAATAATTTGAATTTTTTTTAGATATTTAATTCAATTAAGATATATATATATATATATTCTAATTTGAAATCTTTTAATTAATAATCAAAATTCTAAACCAATAAATGTGTGAATTTAAAAAACAAGTACAATAAAAAATAATTTGTATGACATCCATTTTTAAAAAGATACAAAAATTATGAAGCTTGTTGATCAAATTTTTAATTAGAATATTTTATTTTATTTTCATGAACTATTTTCACATTGTTGTCCATATCAAGGTCTGGATCAGATGCTATATGGTCTATTTCATCATGATTAGGGTTAAGATTGCCATTACATAGAGAAATTATTGTGTGCGGCATCCGAATGCATTCTGATTCCAAACACAGCTTGCCACATCAACAGATGCACTCCGGGACCCAGTGCATCCAGTGACGTGGCGCATGATTATTGGAATGCGAATGCATTTAGATTCCACGCACAATAATTTCTCCATTACATAGTACTTAATGGGTTACATATTGCATCATAGCTTATGCTTATAAAATAAGTTAAATATTTTTATATCAAAAAATTAAAATAATCACACAACCAATGCAACTTTCCATCCATAAAACCAACTAAAGGGATAAATGCAGCATATTCAATAATGCTGCAAAAATTTCTTTAATAAAACATTTCATAAAATTACAAAATTTGCCAATGTAGGCGGCCCATAGAACTGCAAAGAAAAAGATTTTACGGATCAATCAGAGATTTTTCGTTTTCTCTTCTTCTCTGATTTGGATTTATACTTCTTTCCACTATCTTCATCCATTTTCTTGCTTCTATCCTCAGCCATTAAATGCTCAAAATCTTCAAGGCTAGCAAATGGAGATGGTCTGCTCTTCTTTTCAGCCTTTCTCTTCTTCCTCCCAATATAAGAGAGATTTTCATTTCCATTATCGCCGTCATCGGCATTATCTTCATCAGTATCAGCTCCCCAAATTTCAATATCATCATCTTCCTCCTCTTCCTCTTCCTCTTCCTCTTCCTCGTCACTTGCAGCAGCGAAAGATATATGTTCATCTTCAGCGTCACTGCCATGTCCAAGTAAGTCCTCATCATCCTCTTCGATAACACGGCCAAGATCTTCATATTCAAATTCTCCCTCTTCGTCCTCTTCCAAATGAAGAGGCCCTGCACCAAGCATGTTATCAATCTCATCCTCCTCTTCCTCCTCATTTTCATCAAACAGTAGATCTGTGTCCTCATCATCAGCCATGGCCTTCTTCTTTGCCTTGAGTTTTTTGGATGAACTTGTCCTGTTCATGTAGAAGCGGTGGAAGACAACATCTTCGGGTGGTACTTCTTCCTCTGCTAGCTGTAGAATCTCATCACCAATCAGATGATGACTCGTGTCAAGCTGCAAGGTGGATAAATACTAATCAATCAATAGTGAAGTAAATATTGAAAAGGTTAGTCAGATCAGATAGTAACAAAGCGAGATCCACATGCATGAATTTGCTTGAACAAACTTGAAGAACATGGCTTTAAGCAATATTCAGCAAAACAACAGGTTTAAGTAAGATATGTTTTAAAAAAAAAATCAATAAGATTTGATTTCATGTTGAGTAAAACATTATTGATTTCAAGTTGACTTTAAGCCAAGTTTATTATTTTTAAATAAATACTACTCATATATGTATCTATAAAGAGAGAGAGAGAGAGAGAGAGAGAGAGAGAGTTCACATACACTGATACACATGACATATGGAAACTAATCAAACTGGATTGAATTAATTTCAAATGAGCCATATTTGAGCAAAAAATCAATTTCAGTTTAAAATAAATTAAAAAAATAAGAGAGTTTTTAAGGTTTGAGAATACTTATCAAGCCCAATTAAGACACTAACCTTTTTAGTTGGTGCGATTTGGGATCCACCATGCCATATACCCTCTGCTTTTTTATTAGGCCTTGGTTTTTTTTCCATGAACTTATCAAGAAAAGCACCTAGAGACAAATCATTTAAAGGATCGCCATTGTAGACTATGTTCACACCGGAAAGTAGCGTTCTGGCCATAGCTGCCACGGATGGGTGTACATGAGAAGCCAAGATTGTCAACTCCCACAAACCGGTTCGGTCTGCATTGCTATCAAAGAATATTCCAACCATAATTATTTAGAATTTAACAATATGCATTATCACAAATTATTTATCATAGAAATGAATGAATTCTGAAAGAAAAAACCCATGTAATTGGGATACTGCTAATGATAATGATTTATATTAGTATTTGACTAGAATAATGATATTTCAAAACAAAATCAATTAACAAAAATGCAACAAAAAAACATATTAAAATGTAAATAATAGCCACTCTGCATAATGCCCCGACTCAATCTTGTATGGACTAGCTCCCTGAGATTAATATGAAAGCATCAATATATTTTATATATTCAAAACTATAGAAAGTTTAACATGCCTTAATCCAGATTTTCATATGTAGATGAGAATTGCATAAAGTTGAACATGAATAGTTTGTTTAGGCTGATGGAAGTAATACCATGGAATTGTGCATGTGCCCCCGAAACACGTATTTTATATATTCAAAACTCTAGAAAGATTAACATGCCTTAATCCAGATTTTCATATGTAGATGAGAATTGCATAAAGTTGAACATGAATAGTTTGTTTAGGCTGATGGAAGTAATACCATGGAATTGTGCATGTGCCCCCGAAACACGAGCATTTGTCGTGCCTGCCCACAAACTCAAAAAAACACTTCTAAAGCTGCATTCGGGCTAACAAGGCCGGAGATTTGGAATGGCTTGGCTGTAGGGGAGAGCATGCAATCACACAAACACACTTATATTATAGATTGACTAAAATCAATTTTTTTTTTCTTCAGCCCATTGGAATGCATCAATAAAAGAACAACAATGGACCTAAACATGTTAATTTGTAATTTTCTACACAAAAGCTAACAAGTAACTTAGAAAGCTACCAGTAGCACTACAATTTTTGCAGAGAGGGTGGAAATTATTTATATGTAAAGACATTAAATGAGGCCAAAGTCATATATATATATATACAGGTCATAGCTACTTATTGAGCAAAAATGACCCCGCTCAGGAACATAAATAAAAGAAACATGAATAGGGTCTCAAGTTTAAACATTTTGTTAAAACTCATTCAATGAGCAATAGGTTAAAAGGAGAGCATACGAAAGCTTATTTAAGATATCAGTTTTGTGTATCAATTTGCCACACTCAATCAAAGTAGATAATTGTCATCTAGTCCTTAGTTCTCATCAAACTGCTTCAATTATTTTATTCAATCATAATTACTATAAAATTCAACTCAGCGGACTCACAAATCCTTCGACTGCATCAAATAGATGAACCAAACCAAAGAATGCCAGTTGTTTAAACTGCCATCTTAGTGACATCGATGGTAAGTTAAAAGCAAAAGCAATTAGTTGGTTGCATCATAATCATAACACCAATGTACTGGTTAACACATGAATTGTAATTCCACTTTTAACAAAATATAACAACTAATGTATACAGGCATTTTTATTGTTTTTATGGATAGTAACAACAAGCAACATATCCGTTGTTGATGCAATCATTAGATACATTCAAACTAGCTAGTGCATATGCTACAACATTCTCAAATGCATGTGTGAGATTGGTAATTAACCTTCTTAAAATCAAAATGAACATGCATGATTAGCAATTTGAAGAAAAACATCTGTTTCAATGGCGCAAAAAGAAACAATGAGCACATAAATTTGAGGGATGAAATAATTACCAATAAACAGGTTCTCTGTGTCGTGGATCATAACCGCCAGGCAATGATGATTCTTTGTGATGAGATTGAGCTCCCTCTTCAGCAATATCACTAGCACTTTTTGCTCTGGAGCCATTGTTCAGATTGTTTTCCATGTCAGAATTGGAATCCTCTTTGCCATCCACAAAATCGTACATTTTTCCACTTTGTGTAACAGAACTGTTTAGTTTTGTGTTCTCTACAGGAGGCATGTTTTGGTCCTCCTCAAGAATGTCTTCAAAATGTTCAAGTTCATCATCAATGGATTCCCTCTGAAGTATCACTCTCCTGATAGTCCAGCCAAGTTTTGTTAAGTCATAGGACCCAGTTACTATATTATAACTTTTTTCTCAAGTAACATACCATAAAGGTGGCTTTGCTTTAAGAACCTCAGATAACATGAAAAGGCATCCACAGGCATATTGAGGTGGCCGTTGAAGTGCAACCTGTTCAATTACCAAAGTACCGCTTGAAGGACTGTGATATAATAGGCCAATACATTGCAACACTTTTAAACTGCTAACAATAAACAAGGGAAAAAAACAGACTGAAAGTTTAACTGATGACTATTTTTTCTTTCAAGGATATAACGAAACTGGCACATGAAACAGCGAGAACAAATAATTATAAATATGTTCTGTTTAATTAAATATTGGTGGATCTTTTCTACAGTTGAATACTTGAATTTTACAATGAGATATGAAAAACGAAAAAAAGATCCAAACATATTCAAATTCCACAAATCATATGGTTGTCCATCCATGAGAGAGTTTAGACAAAATTATATGAAGCTCCTTACTAGCAAAAATGGAAGTTCCACAAATCCCTCAGAGAATATGCACCTCTGAGGGATAACAAGAGATAAACACATATAACACATTTCGCGATAAAAAATAGTAATGCCTTATTCGTCTTTGACTTCCAAAACTCAAAGATATTTTATGAATGCTCTGAGGAATTATATAACAACCTGGATGAGGCGCTTTGAGAAGGCTGATACTCTTCTCAAATTTATATCATTCTTCATTGCTTTGACTAGCAGTCCAAGAAACATCTCTGGCTGAAAAACATAAATATATGAAGTGAGCAGTACACTTTGGATGGCGTAAAGAGAAAATTTTGCAAAAGTAGCATTTTTATATTGAATGAAAAATCATTTGGTGTGGTCTAAAACCAAAAAAAAACAAGATAATGATGTTTTATATGCCATGCCTTCGTTAAATTGAACCAATGCCCCAATCCAGTTTATTAGAACTTTTGCGACCTCCTCTTCCATAAAATATATGGAGAAAAAGGATAGAGCAAGCGATTTCATGAAAGGAAAATGGTTGCTATTCATGGCTTTAAGAGAAGATTTTGATACTGGTTGCTATGGGTTTTGAGAGGAGATTTTGATAAGTTTTGAGAGGAAAGCAGGAAGGAGCAAAGAGAGGAACTATATAATCTCTCTTTCTCTACATAATTGTTCCATTCGTCCCCCATTACTTCTCTTCTCCTTCACCTTATTAGTTGTTGATGAATCATCGATGATCAAATCTTGAATGATGCGGGAGCAAGTGGATGATATAAATGTTTCAAATTTTAGGAGAGATTTCTCATGCTTGAATAAATTCAAAATCCTACAAAAGAAATCATAAAAGTAAGCTAACTTATTTTCTATCACCACTAGTCGAGTAATAAGATTAGCCCTCACACGTAATACATCCAAATCACATGTTCATGGACAAATTTCAACAAATTTAAAAGGAAATAGTGTTTCCAATTTTAGGAGAGATTTCTCATACCTTAGAGGAGCTTATAGCAGCAGGAGTGAGAAGCTTAGCGTACAAAGCACGATAAAAACGATCACTTGCGATCTGATTTTTCATAGTAATCTGATACAGTAGCATCAATGCCTGAACTCCTACATTAAAGTTCTCTGAGTGAGCCTGCATGGAAAATTTACAAGATCAGACAAGACGTGGGGAATACATGATGATCGCTCAAAGATAGAAATTAGGTTCAAATTTAGTTTGTGAACTCACCAGTTTAAAAAGAATTGGCATTTGAACCTCTAAAATATCATCAGCTTCCTCACTTGAAACAAAAGGAAATGCCCTATTCACTCCCTGCAATATTTTAACCATACGTCATCGCCCAATCCTTGGTCTCATTTCAAAAAAGAGATGTCAAGTAGCCAGAAAAATCAAAGGATTCCTGTAATTCCATAGAAAAATCCTTATGTTTCTTTCAAATAAACATGCAAATCCAACTAAATATCCAATAATATTTCATTAAAATTTTCTAATTTCTAAATAGTGGATACCAACCCTTGAAAAACAAAGTTCATTTATTATGATCCATATTAAATTAATATGTACATTGATATAAAAAACCAAAGCAATTTATTTCATAACCATTGAATTAAAATTAGTACATAAGCAAGAGCAAACATTAGCAAACACAACAATATTATTACACAATATATACGATTGAGCAGATTTACCCACAGTTAGTAATGCAGATAAAATTCGTGAATCCATCTCAACATGGGTCTCTGGAGAAACCTTCTTTTTATGACTTTTAAGCGAACTGATTGTCCTTCCCTTGCAATTACTACCTTTACTTCCGAATTTTCCAGTTTCTTCATGACTTTTCTGGTTGTGGTGCATGTTTCCATTGCTAGATTCAAAAATAAGCACCTAAAGTACCAAAACAAATTTTTGCATAAAAATCATGAAAAATAATGCATGAAATTTAAGAGGAAAAAACATAATGTTTCTTGTAGGTGAAGAGAAACAGAGCAAAACATAGTTTAATGTGAACAGACAGGCAAAGTTCAGAAACAATCTTGAACAAGGTCATGATTTTTTATAGAAAGCTATATCCCAAAAAAATCCTAGCAAACTCAGGTTAGCTGAGATTGTTTATCGATATTATTTGCAACTCAACAGCTATTCTTGCACTCAAATCAACGAAAATATTTTAAACTAAAATAAAGTTCAGATTATATAAGATGTTTCAGATATCAACTTGTCAACCAAAAGAAATTAGAGGGTTATTAAACTATTCAATTAATAAATGCTCTCATGCAAGCAGATCATTAAGAATGTGAGAACATAAATAAATCATACAATGAAAAAAAAAATTCACATAAAGCTATTCCAGTTCATACCTACCCCAACCATAAAACAATATATACAGAAAAACCCTTTTTTAGGAACAGAATCGATAGCATGCATAAGTGAGCATGGTACAGGGCACGTATCACCAAATGCATTCTGGATTTTAAATTAACGCCATCTGCATGTAAGATCTAAGCCACGACTGACTCATTAAAGCTGAGTAAGGTTTTCAAACTGTTATAGTTGAAATGATACAATATCAGTTGGTGAAGCCAGGAATCGACAACCAGCTGGCTATAAAAATAGTACTAGCAACCAAACTAGGCAAATAGTGCAAAATAAAATGTTTGATTGTCTAAACTTTATAAAAAATAAAGTTAGGAAAGCAAGCTAAATCTACTAATGCACTCGACTGATGTGCTAATAAGCAAATGAAACATCAAAGAACTGAAAAAAGAATGATGAAAATCCTTATGGTCATTCTTGTCGAAGCCCCGCAATAGATCAATGATTTGTGCACAATTTTTTGGTTTATTTTTTGTTGGCTTGTTTTATTTATTTAAGTAATAAAGAACAACACAGTGAAAACAACTGAGAAATGTTACATTTCCTTTAGCTTTATGGCAGTTAATATGATTTGGCACAGTTGAATATTGATTCAATGTTTAATTTCTGAGATGGTTGCAACAGAAATTGTTCTGGAAATTGGTTTGTCATGACACTGGGTATTTTCCTCTAAATATTAGCAGCCTTTTTCCTTGGGTGGTGTAATCTCAGAATTATCCTTTAGCGATTTTGAATTGATTTTGGGGGAGTAGACATTCGGATTAATTTTTATTTTGAGAAGTTCAACCTCTTAATCATATTACTACACCTCCCGTTGAAGGTGTTGATGGGTTTTGAGTGTGCGGGAATGGTGTAAGTGTTTCCTGCAAACAAACCTTTGTGGCGTTTGTCTTCACTATGCATTCTCTTGAAACAAATACTATGCCAACCCAATAGTTGGCTACTTTGGGATAGATGTTTGGAGTTTAATTTGGTTTTAATATGAGCTTAAATTAAGTTGACTTAACTTTAGCTTGAATAGAATCTATTTTTTAACTTCCTTCTTGTGAATTCAAGTTCAATGTGTGAATCCTTTGAGTTGAGTATAAGTGAAACTACATGATTTTGGAGGAATTAACTCCTTATATCAACATCAGCCTTAGTTTTCATAGGTACTTTTGTTCACTTGTTCAATACTTAATCTGCATAACTTGATATTGAGTGCTTTTGATATTGATAAAAAAATTTACACGTAAAAACCAAATTTGTGAAAAACAAATTCAATCTGTTTATTTGTTTTGTGTTACTAATTCATGCTTGCATATCTCATACCAATTCAATCATTTCATGATCGGTTTGGATTTAATTTTAGTATACCTAGTTTGTATTTCAATAGAATAAGTTGTTGATGTTTGCTCAAGAAAAATGGCACTTAGGCATTAATCCTGCTTTTTAAACTTAGGATTCCATCCCTCCTAAAGTAGATTGAGTTTTAATTAACCAGATTTCCCTCGAAGATTGTATTAGGATTAAGTTAGATCTAGGTCATTACTTCTCATGAGCGCAAGCCCGCATAATTAATTACACCTCCTCATCATAGTAGAAAACTCTCAATTAAGGATGAATTATTTAGCGAATCTTAGGAATCTTAAGTTTTAGTCTTGTTTGTGAGGGATGGAAAGAAGACCCGATCAAGATCTCATGATTCTATCATCCCAGGAATATTGTAGATTTCAGTCGACCAATGTTAACAAATGATTGATTGTAGCACCCAAAGAATTTGATTGACAGTCCCGGGCTGCCTTTGCTCAAAGATTCCAAGTAGACTGAAGTGGTTAGACTATAATTTAAGTTGGAGTTTACATCTATTAGAATATTCATTAATTTATTTAGTTTGGGGCTTATAGCCCATTAAAAGAAAAGCATAATACTAAGTTAAGTGTGGCAGAGATGAGGATGCTCAGGTGGATGAGTGGCTTTACTCTTAGAGATAGGATACGAAATGAGCATATACGTGAGAAGGTTGGAGTAGCTCCAGTAGAAGATAAGATTAGAGAGAGTCGCCTTAGATGGTTTGGTCACATAAAACGGCGGCCTTCCGATGACCCGGTTAGGAGAGTAGAGGTATTAAATTTGACTTATGTTAAGAAAGGTAGAGACAAACCTAAAAAGACTTGGTTAGAAAATATTAGGAATGACCTTTCTTTATGAGATTTAAACGAGAATTTGACTTTTAATAGGATACAATGGAGAAAAATGATTCATGTAGCCGACCTCACGTAGTGGGATAAACATTTGATGTTATTGTTGTTGTGGGACTTATAGCTCATTTAGGAGTTGCCCAATAATTTGATTTAAGATGGGGCCTACGGCTCCATTTAAGAGTTGCCCAATAATTTGATTTAAGATGACACTTACGGATCCATTTAAGAGTTGCCCGATAATTTGATTTAAGATGGGACTTACGGATCCGTTTAGGAGTTGCCCGTATGTTTAAATTTAGGTTGGGGTTTACGGCTCCATTTAGGGGTTACCCGCAAGGCTTACGGTTCCATTTAAGAGTTGCCCGTATGTATGTAGGTATTTGCAGGAGTTTGCTAAGGTTGGAGTCTGAGGCGGTTTTGGGTCAAATTGTGCAGAGGCGCGCCTCTTATTGCGCAATTTTAAACAGAGTTTAAGAGTTGCCCGTATGTATGTAGGTATTTGCAGGAGTTTGCTAAGGTTGGAGTCTTGTTTATAGAGTTCTAGTTGAGTTGAGTTTTTTTTGTTTGATAGTTTGAATTGTTAGTTTGAGTTTGAGTCAATTGACAATTATATTGGAGATGGTTTTAGTGCAAACATTCTTCATGCTCTCCCTTTTTTATTTGGTTTATTACATTTAATTAATTAATTACTTAATTACTTAAAAAAGATTTTTATTTATTTTGTTTTTTTAATTAACCAAAGAATTAATTAAAGCTACTTTTAAATAAAATTTATTTAACTCACTCTTTAAAAATATGTAATTTAACATAGTGGCTCTCCCCTTCTACTTTTTTTATTCTCTAACTGTTTTTTTTTTTTTCAAAAATCATCATTGTTTAGAAAATTCGGCATCCTCCTATTGTCCCCTCGTGAGGGGAGGTTGGGACGATACTTGCCGTTGATTCTTCACCACCGGATCTAAGATACGACGGTGCGAGGACTTCAATTTAAACATTCATGGCCGGATCTAAGATATAACAGCACAGGTCTTCACATTAATGATGCCACATAGCTTATTTATGGTCACCTCACAAACTAGAACTATTTTATTAAGTTTTTTTATAGTCTGACTCTATTATTCTGATTTTCAATGCACAATCTGAGTAAGCTTTGTACTGTATGGCATGATTAGTAAGTTCATTACTAGTTGCAAATCCCTTAAAATTAATGTAGATGCCTTTTCAAGCTTTGTTTCCCTGGTGAACACGGCTAGCAAAACCAGGAATGTAATGCCCAGCATATGATTCCCCCTTGATGTTAAATTCATTATTCACATACTCTGGATGTTGAGAGAAAAAAAAATGTCTGCAATAAATTTCAGTCAAGTATAGTTGCTCGACTCTCGTTTTCCTCTCTAGTAATCAACAAACGAACAAGCTTTATTGTGTGTTGAAGATGGCTCACACGCTAACAGGAGTAGAGCTGAATGTAGTTGGCCTCGCACACGGGCAAGGAGTTTGGGTCGGGATTGCACGGGCAAGCAGTAGACGGTCGAATATGGGCTATCATGAGAGAGGACATGCGGTTCAAGTGGGTAGACGAGACAGAAGGGGTTAGGTGTCCGGAACGCGCAGTCGGGCCAGTGGTTCCGAGCGAGTGGCTTCACACGCGGGTGTGCAAATAGAGAGAGGGATTGCGGGCTGGGTTTCAAAGTGCGGGATGGTGCGGACGAGAGAGAGGAGCTCGGCTGCATCTTCCTACGTTCGGCACAGAGAGATTGAGGGAGAGATGGCAAGGGGTTTTGCATGCGTTTCCTGCAAGTTGAGTCGTTGTGTACGTCCAAGTGGGTCATTCTGTGTGTGGTTTTGTGAAAACAAGAGACGTCCGTTCGGTGAAATGAGTTGTCCCTTCCGTTATATTTATTTATTTATTATTTCAACAGATAATAGGTAATTTTTTATATTTAAATCTCTTCTTTCACGAAATCATACTAAATATTATATTAGTTGTATTAGTAAACCATGGCTCTAAGTGATCTGCATCAGAGAATATTAAAGATCAAGGAAATGTTTAAACACAAGAAAATTAATAAATTGTGCAGAGTGAAGTAGCAAGAAAGCAATGAGTGCATATTTCACCCAAAAAACTTTCAACATGGCAAAAGCTATTGTTTGAAAGTTGATGCAAGTGAATTACATATAAAAGCAATAAGAAACATTGATGGAAACATAAAGCTTTTTGAACAAATTTATCAATGGTGCAACATAATGTGTTATTGCTTATAGAGAAGCAACGTGTGTTCAATGCCCAAAAGATCAAAATGGTGCATGTCATTGACACTAAAATTG